ACCTCTCATGTGAACCCATTACTCATTACTTTCTTGGCCCATGATCATATATTTGCTTTAATGGGCTTATATCTAGTAAGTTATTAAATTCTTGTCTTTTTGGTATAGTTCTCAGAACTTTTCGATTGCCTGCAACTCTTACCGTAGCTAATTGATTTAAAGAAAAATATTAGAATTTGTTTGGAAATATTTTTAAAATGATTCAAAATGTTCTTAAAAAAGTATTTTTGGATTTCAAAAACACTTGAAATGTTTTCTGTAAGAAGTACTAAGTTATGTGTTTTTTGCTTGAAGCACTTCAAATGTTTTTCTAGGATTAACTTGCGTTTTCACTAAAGATTGCTTCAAAAAATATTCTCACCAAAAGTACTTTCAGCTGTTTTAAAAACACTTCCAAACGAGCTATTAGTTAGCTTCTTTTTATTTAAGGTTTTTTTTATACACTAAGGTTTTAACGAGACCACTCTTCGCATCCTCATATTTGTAATATTTCCATTATCAATGATATTTAATCCTACGACAAAAAAAAAATCATTGGCGAGGCTATATGATTCATCAACAATTAACAATGCCACAATCACACCAACATAAGTTGTAATTTGTTTAACTTAAAAAAGAACAAACAATCATGAGTTAGCCAAAAGATCGAGGGTGTGGCAGACAAAGGATCTCTGACCACCTCTGTATGAACAGACAACCATGGGAATATTACTGAAACGAAAATTAGTTTTCCACCGCCATTGTATGTGCAACACGTGTGTGGTCGGTCCAAAAGGAAACAAAAGTGCAACCAATAATGCAGAACTATCGAAACCAGCCAAAAGGCATGGAAATGGATATTGCCGATTGAGCATCTTCAACGGATAAGAACCAAGAGAAAGGGATGAGGCCAAAAAGTTTATACAGGGGTGCTTGTAAAAAGGATATGACAAAACACACATATACAGAATATACAAGATGAAATATCGATTTAGTTCTTAAATTATTACGAGTGAAGAACCTTTTTTTGTGAAAAATTTGATCAAAAACTGCTATTCATCGTATTATTATATTCATATTCTATTTATTGAATTATATTTATTATGTGGTTATTCACTTAGGGGTCGGTATGCAAAATGGAATGAGTTAGGGACATTCTCTATGTAAATTTGAAGTTTATAAATACGCACTTTAATGAAAATAAAATGACACCATCATGGAGCAATATCATGATTCGCAAATGTAATACACTAATATAATAAACTGTCAAAGATTTAAACCTAAATCGTAAGAGAAAAGAGAGAGATCGTTCTTCCTCCTTGTGAAGGGATCACCAATAGTGAACACGTTTATAAATTAATGTAGATTATAGAATTAACTTACCAAGTGCATGCATCATACAAGATGACTTTAAAATTGCATAAAAAATGACTTTAAAATTGCATGAAAATGACCTTAAAATTGCATTCTAAAAATTAGAAGAACTTGATCTACCATACATACAGAAGTAATATTTAAGTCGTTTGGTCCAAATAGGAACTTCGCCCATAAAAGTCGCTTTATTTTGCGTACAAGGTATCCTGGAATGACGATCACGTAGGGCATGGTGGACCATGTCCTGTATTTGTCATGAGTCTTGACATGACCCAGCCCAAATTATTTTTTCTTTCTTGGGTTGTGGTTTTATAACAATACAAACCTACCCGTATTGTCGTTCATTAATCATAGCATATGGTTTTTGTCTGCTTTTGCTACATAGAATTTAGTTTCTTTTTTTTATTTTTTTGAAACTTTTTTTTGGAAGCATTTTCGCTCGCCCACGTTAATTTAGGTATATGCGTACCATACACTTTCTTGTTTGTCATGTGTCTCATCTTCTAACTATGGTTAACATCTTTATTTAATGTTCTTTTTATTTTTTAACAGTGATTTAAAACACAAATTAAACAAAATTAAAATAAATCTAGCGCTTCAAATTCCCCACCCAACGAGCCCGATAAACACCTACCCACGTAGCCGCCGATGACCAGATCTCCGTCCTGCCGCCGGACAAACCATATGTTCACTCTCTCCCTCTCTCTTCTTCACCCTTCTCCCGTCTCTCTCATCTCTATTCTTCACCGGTCCTGCAAGTCAGCAACTCGTTTTCTTTAACCTGTGTGGTCCGGTGAGTTCGAGAACGAGTTATCCGAGTCGTACCCATCACTGACCACTGATGCAGTGATCTAAGTTTTGAAGAAATTGGATAAAGACCCGTGAAAGGCTTTGGATTTTTTTCAATTGGGCATGTGAGAAGAAATGGATTTAGTTGAGTTCTTCGGTGGGTCTTTATCCATTGATGTGCAGTACTCGTGTTTTGAAGAAATTGGATGAACACCCATGAAAGGCTTTGGATCAATGTGAGGCAAATGACGGAGAAGGGCTTTTCCATTGATGTGCAAACCTCTGCGGTAATTATAGAACAGTTGAAAAAGGGCTTTTCCAGTTCAGGCATTTTTATGACAGCATGATCAAAGATAATGGGACGGATGATGTTGTGAAGAGCGTGGTAGATGTTGTTTCGGGGTAAGAGTGGAGTGATAGGTTGATAAGGAATTAGGTTGAAATTGGTCGCCGCCGGCAGTGGCAGCGCGGCTGCGTGTTTGTTTGGGTTGGCATGGCTGGGTAGAGAACTGTTTTGTTTGTATATATTTTTGTTTTTATTTAGTCAACATTTTAAATCACTTTTAAAAAAAATAAAAAGAACATTAAATTGAGATGTTAACCATGGTTTGGCGATGAGACACATGGCAAACAAGAAGGTGTATGATGAGCATACATCAAGATTAATGTGGGTGGAGATGCACAATGTTGTACGAGGAACACAATGTTGTAGCTAACTTACTTTCAATACCTACTTGTTGGAACTAAATTCATGCACTGTCGTGAAGGGTGGAGATGCATAAATTTGTGTAACTGGTAAAGGAACAAAAAATCGTGAGTTAGCCAAATATCGGGGGATGGTATGCCGGTCAAAGGCTTTCCTACGGTCAAGTTAATAAGCAATACAAGACTCAATCAATGGGTAAGAGATAAGTATGTGATAATTGTGTTACCATAAATTAACCCTAGAAGGTGTATTTATACTAGTCGAGGATGTAATCTTTTAGGATAAAGAATCCGTATTAAACAGGAGATTCGCTGAGGATATATAAAAATAGATATTGTATCATTTTAGGAGTGTAATTTACTTGCAACGCACACCAATCCTTAGATGGTAAGGAGTCAAAGATTATAGGAAACCTGATAATTCCTTGTTGGATTGGATTTCCGTATCTTGTGGAACAAGGATGGTCAATCTGGGTGAAGTCTCATCGGATTTCGTCCACTAATTCTGAAATATGATGATTTTGGCACAAACAAACTTTTAAGCTGTTCATATTTTGATCCATCTAACTCCAGGCCTGGACACTACTAACAACCCAAAAATCATGCATGTATATAATTGTTGAGGCAGATTTTCTACCCTCTCATTTTTCGTGCCCTCCTGTTTTGTGTGGTCACGGTTAAGTCACGTCAATATTTTATATTATTTTTTATAGAGATAATAAGACAAAAAAAATAGTAATATAAAATATTGATGTGGCTTAACCGTGACTATATAAACAGAAGGGCACGGAAAATAAAAGAACGGAGAATTTTCCTCCGTACAATTGCATGGTGGACCATTTGGCATTTGCTATTAAATATTGATTAACAAAGTTGCATTAGTGCAGTTTGTGATGGACCCTCTTGCATTTGTTTATTCATGATCCGACGGCGGATTGGAACCCGATCACCACTACCCCATGTTGCAACTGCCTGCCTCCACAGGATTTGGAAGTGACACAAAGAAAATTCATTAAAAATATTATATATTCATCAGCAAACAGTACCTCAGACGCAAAAATGTATAAAATCAAATCACATCAGAAAAAAATATTTAGTTTAAAGGGGCGGTGTGTTATTGCAGTACGATTATCTGCTGCGGATAAGGCAGCCAGAGCACGTGCAGAACCGAGTGAAGTTTGAGTCTGATTTGTTAAAGATAGGACAGTAACTGCAATTTTTGTCAAGCTTTACCTACCAATCTGCATCACGTTCATATTTCTCCCACGATCCCACACTGGATTTTTAATCAGATAACATGTTGGATACAAGCGAGATACTGAGGTTACTGTGAAGTAATCCAACTATATATTCCGTTTTCTTAATTTTGTAAATTTTCGATACGATACAATTTTGTACATTCTGACAGTATAAATTTGACTTCGAGTGCGTGAACCAATGCTTTTAACCTAATTGCTGCAAGCACTTTGCAATGAGATGAGTCATGGGACTCTCGTGGAGATTGGTAGATGTCTGAGTTAATTGAACCTTTTAGGTAAGATTGATCGAGTACTTCACATGCTGGCATGCTGCATCTGGAAGCAATATACTATTTTGTAATAATGGGATTTTCTCTAAGAACACTTTGCAAAAATGGATAATGTGTTAATTATGACAATTTCTTCCCCATATAAACTTGCACCAGAAATTTATATAAAAACATATGATTTTATGTCAAGCATTAAATCATAGTCTTGGATTTAGATTTAGGTCATTTTTTTTTTTATACTCCTTCTTGTTCAATTAGTTTTATTCGTGATGATTGACTTGGGATGTCTCGGCATGTCTAAAGAAAAAAGAATTTTGCGGCGAATAGTTTAGAGACCTATAGTCTTGATTTAGATTTAGGTCATTTTTATTTTGATACTCCTTCTTGTTTAGTTAGTTTTATTCGTGATTATCGACTTGGGATGTCCCGGTCTAGATTTATTATTAAGCAGATTTGTTTGGGCTCGCTTTTAGCCCCGTTTTTCAGCCAAAATAAAAAAATTTGACAGTTATCAAACGAGCTTTTAGCTTTAACAATAAACAATGCTACTAATTGCAATCTCTTGATATTTGCTGCACCTTACCATAGATTTAATGAAATGAACTTATGAATATACAAAAGAATATAAGAGCATCTCCAACAGTCCATTCAAATGATGTTTTTTGGCTAATTTAACAAAAATAAAGCTCCAACAGGCTAGCTATTCATTTGGCTAGCTACGATAACAAGAATTTAACTAGCATTATTGAAGATGCTCTAAAAAAGTTTCCTTTGTCTCTTTTTTGAGATTTTCGAAATTAATTCCGGCCAAAAACAAAAATACAAGAAAACCCGGACACTGATATTGTATTGTTCCCTTTTTTTATTTTTAATATGTACCCCAAACTATCAATTTGTATGTACCACACCTCAGATTCCTGGACAGTCACCGGTTTCTGGGGTCCTACAGTCACCGGCGACCGGCTCTCCCGGTCGGTACATCAAGCAGTTAAGCTGCGGTCTCAGCTTATCTATCCACATTTGCGGTCCACTTTCAAATTCTCTTTGCCTTAAATTCAACTCCACCACGACCAGCTTCTCCGTTAACCGGTAAATCCCAACTATCACGACAAAATTCCCATTCTTCCCCGCCAATTTCGCCCCCCAGCTCTTCTTCTCCGTCACTGACACGTCCCCCGCCTTCGCCACCTCCTCCACCTTCTCCATTATCCTCTCCGGCGTCTCCGCCGACACGAACCGCTCCCCGCAGTCAGATATCCCGGACTTGCTAAACAACCGCGAGATATCGAACCCAGACGAGAACGAAATCAAATCAAACGCGTTCAACGACGACGTTTTGTCGCTGTCCCCGTCCCGCATGTCCTCCAAGCCAAAGTCCTCGAAGTCGAATTTAGTCTCCCGGTACCCCTTCTCGAACCACGGGTCCTTCAAAATCTCGTCGACGGTTATCCGAGTCTCGGGATTCGTGTCGAGGAGCCGAGAAATCAGGTGCTTCAGTTCCGGCGACGTCCATCTCGGAACCCGATAATCTCCCTTGCAAATCTTCCGGTACATCACCATGAGATTCGGGTCGTTAAAAGGCAGGTAGCCTGCGTTCAGAACGAACAAAATGATGCCGCACGACCAGATGTCGATCTTCGCGCCCTCGTACCCCTTCTTCGCAAGAATCTCCGGTGCCACGTAGCCGGGGGTCCCGCAGAGTGTGTGCAGGAGACCGTCGGACCGGACCTGCCCCGTCACGGCGCTCAGCCCGAAGTCCGAGACTTTCAAGTTCCAGTTCTCGTCGAGGAGCAGATTCTCGGGCTTCAAATCGCGGTGGTACACTCCCCGTGAGTGGCAATATCCGACGGCGGAGATCAGCTGCTGAAAGTACCGACGGCTGAGATGCTCACTGAACCGCCCCTTGGTGATCTTCGTTAAGAGCTCGCCACCCTTGGCGAACTCCATGATGAAGTAGATCTTGGTCTTAGTCGCTAAAACCTCGTTGAGCTTCACGATGTGCGGGTGTCGAAGACGGCGCATGATAGAGATCTCCTGCTTAACGTGCGCCGCAAACCCGCCCTTGAGTACCTTTTGCTTGCTGACAGCCTTGATCGCCACGCTCTGCTCCGTGTGCACGTTCCGCCCGTGGTACACCTTCGCGAAGGCCCCGCAGCCCAGCAGCCTCCCAACCTCGTACTTCCCGAACAGGTTAACCTCGTCTGCGCCGGAGTCGTCGCCATTGTCAGTGACGACGTCGATCTCCGGCATGGCTCCCGAGAGAACGGATTTTTGAGTTGGGAAAGAATTGAGAAAGAATTGTGTTTTTTTTGGAAAAAGGATTTTTGTCGCTCTGTCGATTGGAGTTGTTGGTGTTATATAAAGTAGTTGGCTCCCGTTTTAACAACGCAATGCCACTTTGCATCTACGTCGACGTGGGAACCAATTGTGACCAGCCACGTGTCCAGGTCCCTGAAACAGTGTTCCGAAGTTGTAACTTGCGTACGGTGCTCCGATGAGCGTTGATTTCTGAAATCCTGTTCAAGGATTTGAATCCGAGAGTCGTCGCGCGTTAATCCGACGGCGGTTAAAACCGAGAGTGTAAAAGTCCGGTCGTACGCAGTCTGGATATACTTTTCTTGGATTGAACTTTCAGTGGAGCCGAGAAAATATTAAAAAAGTAGGATTTGAGTAGGCACCAAACCCTAATTACATTTGGAATAGGTAATTAACAGAAAACGGGAATCCGTAGCTGAGTTGGCCATGTTTTCCGTACCAAGCAAAGTCATAAAGTTATGGATTTTCTTTTTGCAAGAGTATAAAATATGCCTTTCTAGTTCTTTTCTTATTATGTCTTAATTTTTAGTTTTCTTTTAAAAATAAAATTCAACGAACTTCATTTAATGGTTAGGATGTCTTTTGGGGTTTTTTTTGGATTCCACGCGATAATTCAATAGGTGCCCAAAAGAGCCCTCTACAAGTCTTTAGAAAGGGTTGTGGTGTACCCTGACTCTAGAATAGGTTAGCCTCCGATTGGCTTAGATTTTTTCTACCAAAAAAGAGTAATGGGACTAAAGAAACAAGAATTAAAGATTTAAAGTCGTGCAAAAAGAAAGTTTTAAGAAAAAGGAAGTTATCATGAATCACAATTTGATAGCAAAAAGAAAGAAAGTTCTACGAATAATTCACTAGTTTTTTTTGGTAATTAGTTCAATCGATTTTTTTTCATTAATTAGGTGAGTGTTTTGAATAGGGGTGTGCTATCCACACTCATTTTTACTTCTCACACACCTATTGTTAATTTCTATTATTTGATCTTCTTCAATACATCCGATCTGATGACAGAAAATTAAAAAGGTGTGTGAGAAGTAAAAACGGGTGTGGTTTCATATATATATTCACTTGTTTAGAGATTATAATTGCTAATACAAAAGTACCCAATAGTGTCGCTTTAAAAAACAACAAGAAAAGCTCATTTCTGTCGGATATTAGGAAAAATCTAACAGAAATTCATGTAATGGTGCATAAAAGAACTAACATAATTGCTAGCGTCACAAAAATATTTTTTTGTCGGTTAGTTCCCTTAATCCACCAAGTAAAAAAAGAAAGCATTTTAAAATTAAAAAAGGACAGTAATGTTGGATATAAGTGACATGGAAACTCCCGTTGGATACATGCAATATTAAATACTGAGACTATCGAATAGAGCAGCTTTATGTCATCCCTAACCAACACAACTAACCATTAATAATAAATAAATAAATAAACATAAAAAACCATTAATCGCCCATAACTAACACCAGTAACCATTAATAATAATAAAAATACATAAAAACCATTAATAAAATATAAGAAACTTCAATTTTCTCTTGTATACTACATATATCATCCAAACATTCAACATCTTAATAGCCACTCAAACAGTCAACCCAATTATTCCTCTTCAGCACAAATGAAAATTCATACCTTTTTTTTTGTCAAATGAAAACTTCATAAAAAGACCTGAAGAGGTGCAGCAAGTACAAATAAAGGCTATGATAGCCCAAAGCCAAACCCCAGGAAAAAGAAAAAAGAAGAAGAAAAAGACTATAGTCAATACAAACTAGGCAGCAATGGAATACAGCCTAGACAATTAGACAAACATTACTAAACACCACTCAGGTGAAACAAAAGAGGAAGAGGCTGATAGTGATACCACTATCAGACCTCAATTAAAAGATAGCGGAGGTTATGGAAGCCCATCCCGAGATAGCACCATTACCAGTGAGGGATGGGGCAAAGTGGTCCATGGGAGATTGCTCACCCTCAAATCGGTTAAAGATACAGCCATATGAGCTGCTTGGTTGGCCATTCTTGGAACCCAGTTCCATTGAACAAAATCAAACATTCATACTTAAAAAAAAATACAACATAATAAGTGGGGGAGTCAAACTTGCTATCGCATCTTTCGGACTGAACTTTACGAAGTAGCGTGGGAGCCTTGTTGGTGAACATGACGCCGACGATGACGTGAATCTCACCTGAGTGTTGGTGAGATTCTGCCTCCATTTACACACATCGGATGTTCTGAACTGAAAAAAATAGATCTTTTGGGAGAAAAATATTGGGTTTTGGGAGAAGAAGATTGGGTTTTTAGAAAAGGGTTGGAGAGTTGAAGGAGAAGGACTAGGAGGAGGCTAAAGATAAATGGGTGTAAGGTGTGGTGAAGGCTGCTGGAAGGAGAAGAACATAAGAAGAAAATGAGAAGTAAAATGGGAAGGAGAAAGAAAGGAGAACTAAAGAAAAAGAAGCAGGGGAAGCAGGAAAAAAAGAGGGAAAATAGGCACACGAAGGAAATGGGGGAAGAGAGATGTTTTATTTAGGGTTGAAAATCTGTCGTTGGTTAAAAGCGCCAGTAATTGTACATTATGTCGAAAAGAATCGACACCAACTTTGAAAATTGACAAACCTGAATTAATCAATATCTGACACAAACTGCAATGGTGTCGGTTAAAACCAACACCACTCTACGCCAACTGACATCACTCAGCCCAATTCCTAATTCCGCCAATTACAACCGACAACACCAATTCCGCATGCAAATCAAGCGCAAAGTTTGAAAATAAAAATAAATTTTGTCAATTTTCATAAAGTTTGAGTATGAGTTTCTACTCATCCTTGAGTAGTCAAGCATTATTCTTTATCATAAAGTGAACATGAAATCTAAGTCAAATTAAGAAATAGGGTGATATCACAAAGCTATAAGGTTCTTAAATCACAATAATCACATTTTAAATTTTTGATATTCGAAAATGAAAACAATTTTTTTGTTTTTTTGAAGAAGAGTACAATATTCATTGAAGATTGAAATACGTACAAACTGAGGATAGGGTGCTTACAATAGGCCTCAATAAAAACCTTATTCGGGCTTTCAACCCGATCGAAGAAAAAAAGAGCGTCCCGCACCAAATTAACTACTAGTACTATCCTCGAATAATAAATGAGAAATTACATCAGGAGGTTCTTCAAACCAAGAAACCGGGTGATCAACAGTGAGACTAAACCTCACAAGACAATGAGCCATCTTATTCGTCTCTCTTCGACCAAGGGTGATTCCATTGTTTGAAATCCTATAGAAGCCGCCTAGTATCGTCGAACATATAACCATAATGACCACTAAATGTTGCACCTGCATTTTGAATGGCAGAAATCACCAACAATGCATCCCCTTCTACCTGAACCTGCTTCATGATACATATGCGCAAGAATAAATCTGCTGCCCTAACAGCTGTTGCCTCTGCATGAAGCGCCAATCTCACGGCAACCACTCTATTCACCTGTGTTGCCAGAAACCTGCCCTTCGAGCTTCTCACTACCAGCCCATAGCCTTCAATCGACCCCTGCTCATCTCATGATGCATCAAAATTTCTTCCGGAAGAATGGCCTTCAGCCGGTTAGTAAGAACCCTTGAACATATCTTATAAATCACATTACAAAGACTAATCAGCCTAAGTTCAGTCATCGTTGACGGATCCAGTTTCTTCGAAATCAAAGTGACATGAGTATAATTGATTTTATTAAGCATATGACCCAATGAAAGAATATGCGTTACCCCATTACACACATCCTGGCCGACCGTCTCCCAATGATTCTGATAAAAACCCAATGACATACCGTCAGGGCCTTGAGCTTTAGTCGAATGCATTTGAAACAACGCCCCTTTAATTTCCTCATTAAAAACCAGTTGAATAAGCTTCTGGTTCATCACATTCGTGACTTTGGGTGTCACCACCAGCATGATTTTCGACACATCCGTCGCACCCTGAGAATCAAACAATTTCATGAAGTAATCAACAATCACCATCTCCATGCCTCTCTTGTCTGCATGCCACACCCCTGCCTCATCATACAACCCTGGCAAAGCATTCCTATGTTGTCTTCGATTATCCTTCTGGTGAAATTTTTTTGTATTTTGATCCCCAAGCTTTAACCAATTTTCCTTGGACCTCTGCCTCCAAAACGCTTTTTCCTGCGCTAATAAAGCTTGCAACCGAGTGTTCAATTCATGCCGTTGTGCAATAGTGGTTTCAGTAAAGGGCTTCCCAAATAAAGCATTCAATTTATCTTTCGTTTCTGAGATTTCCCCTGAAATTAATCTTTTTGTTGTTTTTGCCCAATTAGCCAACTGTAATCTTGTTGCCTTAATCTTCTCTGTGACTCGAAACATTGGTGAACCATGGAACTCTGTTGCCCAACTTTGTTGTATCGCTGCTACACATCCATCTTCCATTGACCACTTTTCCTCATAACAAAAGGTTTTTTTGAATCTAACTTTGTTCTTATGCACTCATTCCAGCATTATAGGTATATGGTCCGACGAATTCAGTTTCAAATGAGAGACTCAAAGCCCTGAAAATACATCCACCCACTTCTGCGACGCTACAACTCTATCTAATCTTAGTTTGATTCCCCCACATCTGGTAGTCACCTAAGTAAATTTATTTCCAATATACCCTAGATCTTGTAACTGGCAACTTGCTAATGCATTTCAAAACCCTTCCATTTGGTGGTCACTTCTTTCATGACCTCTTTCATGTTCCTCGACACACAAAATTTCATCAAAATCTCCCATGTAACACCACGGTAGATCCGAATTTTCACTCAGCCTTTGAAGCAAACTCCACAATTTATGTCTATCTGATTCCGCCGGAAAGCCATAAAAGAAAGTAAGTCACCAATGAGTATCATCTCATATTCCTCCAACCTCCAAGTTAATATAGTTTGACGAATACGATATCATCAAATTTGCCTTACCTTTCCACATTGCACATAAACCCTCGGACCTTCCCGAACTTAGAACTGTAAACACAAAATCAAAATTCAACTATGATTTTAACCTCTCCATACGCTCCTTTGAGCTTTTTGTTTCGCTTAGAAAAATCAACATGGGATCTTTGAAGAGAACAAGTCTTTTTAGCGCCTGAATGGCCCGGAGGTTCCCAAGCCCCTGGCAATTCCAGCTTACAAACCTCATTGGGCTCAGCAAGGCTGAACTTCCTCAGCCTCTGCCGCTATGAACCTCATTGAAGTAGCTAAAACACGTTTCTTTGCACCCGGGATCAACCCCCACTCCTCATTCTCATGGTGACCTCTTTTTCCCAACTCCGATAAAACAAAACATCGGGTTTTAGACTGCCTCTTTTTATTTGTATTAGAGACTCTCCCTCTCGAGTTATCACCATGCACCGTTCACATGCTAAAAATAAACAGAGCTAAATTAAAGGGGTCTGAATCAATGGACCTAGGAGAGTAACCTCACCATTAAGCCCACTCGCCAAGGTTAGAGCAATGGTCTCTCCATCAATCCTCTGCATCTCTTAACTTTCTCCCTCACCTCCCACGCTTGGTTCAATCGTAGCCCCAAACAGCCGTAATGGCTGCCTCATCGCTGTCATTAAACCCTCCCTCTCATCCTCTAGCATATCCTGGAATTGTCTACCCAGTGCCCTCGACATGAAGGGTACCACTGCCACCTGATCTCCCTTACTATCTAGCTCGCCTACAGCTTCATTCAAATCAAGGATTGAAGAAATTCCTTGTCCCACTGCCCCCGTCTCCATCGATTTTCCTTCTTCCACTTCCATCAAAGCGTCAACCTCCTCCAACACCGGAGCCTTCATTAACTAACCACCCTCCGCATCTAAACCAAACTGTCTCCCTATAGGGCGTCGATAATCTTTATCGAGCACATCCAGTTGGAACCAACAACCATACGGTTTGTCCTTATCATCCAAAACTTTTCCTTCATAGCACTCACATTGGTCTTCAACATGGTCCATCATTTCGCATAGAAAACATGTGAGAGGTAATTTCTCATACCTAGCATCTATTTGCATTTGCCTGCCATCCAGTTGTATATTCACAAACCTTTGCAACGGATTCCTTACGTCCAGACACACCCGCACACGAAGAATGCTACCAAATAATTCATCCTTACGATTTTGATTCATGAGGATGTACTCTCCTAATATATTTCCTAAAAATTCCCCCATATGTCGAGTCATGTAGCATAGGGGTAACCCCTTAAATTGTACCCAAAATTCCTGAATGTGCAAAGGAATCTGAGCAGGGTATGCCAACGTATCTGCCTCTCCAAGCAACAATAGGTACTGCTTGTTATACAGCCATGGTCCTCGATGAAGAATAGTGGTACGTTCCTGCATGGAATTGAATCCGAAAGTAAACCGATTGTCCTCTAAATCTGTCACCACCACAGTCGCTTTAGGACGCCAAAGATTTCTCATATGTCGTTTAAAGGCTTCCTTATTCATTGCTTTGTGTGAAAGGACCATTCCCACGAGAAAGACACTCGAAAACTTCAGTGTTGTAGCCTCCATCTGATCCCAACAATTAGTTTGTTTTCTTCATCCGTAATCACGAACCTTCATGCGAAATTCGCCATCAAATCCTCCATAGCCATGAAGGTATTTGTAACCAAGCCCCAAATACATGCGCCCACCAGAAAACACCACACGATTCCTCTACGTAGTCGTCCCCACACCATGAAATTTGCCGCAGCCGTTCAAAGCCCTAGACCTCTCCACGCCATCAACTGATCAAAGACAGCCAGAAAATCAACAAAATCCAATGATTTTCGTTAGTCACCCATTCTTAGAATGAGTACAATTAAACATTTGTAGGATAGTGATTTTTACATTGTTGGTTTCTTTTTTGCACTCATAATTACCTTGGTATTGTGCCTTGGTTTATTTAAGGGGTTTTTGAACATTAGTCCTTGCAAAAGATTAAAATTTTAAAAAAACCTGGTGCTAGATTAAATATTCAATTTAATCCCTTGAAGAGTGCTTTCATCAAAATTTACATTAAATTTTTGTTATTTAATGTGTATTTTCATTTAATCTCTCTATTAAATTTTAATTTTATTAATATGCACATATTTAGTTTTTTAATTATAAATGAACGTAAATGAGAAAATATTAAAAGACATTTGTGATACAAAAATATATAAATACATAAATGTACAGAAATAACTGTGCCGAAATATATAAAATTGACTTTTTTGTTCCGAAATATTTATACCCACATGATTGTACCGAAATATATTATAATGAACCTAAATGTATGTACCGAAATGTATTATATTGAATTAATGTACCTATATGTCAATACCGAAATGTATGTACCAAAATGTACGTACCGAAATGTATGTACTAAAATGTACGTACCTAAATGTCAATACCGAAATGTATGTACCAAAATGTACGTACCTAAATGTATTTACTAAAATATAATATATTGAATTAATATACCTAAAAGTCAATACTCAAATGTGTGTACCAAAATGTACGTAATGAAATGCATTATATTGAATCAATGTAATTACATGTTTGTACTAATGGATATATCGAAATATTCAAATATATTAATGTACCTAAATAAAGAACATACAAAATTGCTATCAGAATATAAATTATAAAAGAATTAGTTACCTAAATGTAGACATTAAAATATATTATGATGAATGAAATAAAAATTAAATTTAAATGTAATTGATGCATTAAAATAAAAATAAAAAGATAAATAAAACATCAAAATATAACTAATAAATGATATGATTAAATGTACTAGGGACTAAAATTTGATTTTAATCTTACACAAAATTAAAATCTAAAACTCATCTTTTTTAAGAATTAAAATGAAGTTTTCTATTTATTTAATTCAAAATACTTGAAGAAAAAAAGGAGACGAAGTGCATCGGAAACAAAAAGTGTGCATCGAAAAAAAAGAGATGTCGTTTTCTTCTTGTGAACCAGAAGATTATGTGGACTGTAAGTATTGGTCGTCTCTTTTGTGAGTAATTAAGTCACATGGCTATTTGCATGAATTGTCATAGAAAATGATCTTTGTGGTTGTTGACGTGATGCATCGTGCTTAAAGAAAATTAACAATTAAGTATATACAACTATGATATAATATAGATCTAAGTGATTGGGTTATTAGTTGTATGATTGGACATTGGCTCGTGCTTCATGGACAATGACATATACCCATGTATTTTGTAGATATGCTGAATCATTGTAGATGGGGTTCACGTGATGCAAGCCCCACTAGCAAGCTTGATACAATTATTGGTTATTCCCAATTTACTGTGTGAGCTTGGTTGTTTTTTAGCTGGAAAGAAGTTGAAAGAAGTTTCGTTAACAACGCTTAACAACTAAGATAAGATATGCATGCCAAACGTAGAGTACAGAGCAAATTTTACCGTGAAAAGAACAAAAAAAATCAATGAAAAAGATGTACGACGTCACACATACCAAAAGAAACACAACGCACAACCCCATATTTACAAACTCAATTATAAATACAATATAATGTCTAAACATAACAGACTCCCATCAAACTAACATGAATGATAACACTCACGAGGACTAAACTTGCAAGCCGAATAACTATTGTAAATGTACCATGAGGAATGGACCACACCACCCTCTGGTCCACCAGTTAGCCTGCTTAGCACTACCATGCTAGTAGATGACTAAAGGACTTTCTTCCCTATAGATGGTTAAGCCATACAAGAGAATGACAAATATTAGGGAGACCACATTTTAAACTACACTGGCATCGTATCCGATGTGTGACAAATGATGTGTACATTTCATTTCAATTAATGTCTTTATCTCATTCGATGTTGACTGTATGGATCATTTGTCACATCATATGTTACAAAAATGTTGTCTCCCTAACATTACTCTACAACAAAAATAGGATAATTATTGATAATTGTTCTATATTAAGTGAAATATAGAAGCAAAGGTTTCTAACAATAATGAAACATAGTTACAGAAGCAAACGTGAAATAGGGTTTTATCCTATCCATAATATTGTTGGAGGCTAATTATTTGATAATTGATATGGGTTTATATATGTATTTGGTTCATAATTCAAAACATATAAAATGTTATCAACAAAATGTCCATTATTGTCTGATTTCAGATTGTGTGTGTATGGTTCATAATTAATTCCCAACAGAAGTTATCAACGGAATAAGTATTGCCTAGGAATGATAGGTACAAAAACCAGTTTCATGTATGAATACAAAAATTGTGGTTATACAATAATTTCAAGTCCTTATCTTCCTGAAAAATTTGAAATTCGAGTCTCCACTCTGGTGGTAATGATGATCTTAAGAAATGTTGCTTGGAAGGAATTGATTAGAAACTTGCCACGTCAAATTCTCATATCGGACGCTGGCTCTGTTATTTGCTTGCTGGATTTGCTCTCAGTGAAGGAGGTTTGTTCTTTATTTGTTAGAAGAGATCGCCCATGCTTCTAATTAATGGATCCCGTTTCTTCTTAATCTAAATATTTTTACTATTCATCAAGAGGTAACGCAGGCGGGCTTAATCGTTAATGCAATTCGAGTTAATGCAATTTGAATGATCGAATTGTTTAATATTTAGGACCTCATTCAAAGACATCTTACGATAAATCACTTAAATCTAATGTCATTACTTATCAAACAATTACATAATAAATAGGCAAACACAATGTTTCTTTCAAAAAATAAAATGTTCATGATGATAATCATATGGTCAAACAGTTTTGAATTTCAACGATTATTTATAGGAATGATTCTTAGATGATGATTTAAAAACTAGACACTTTAAATTATTAAACTTCAATGCGAATTATCCCAAACAATAATATATCTTTTAGATAGTAACTTCAAACCACGCTAACTTGATGTTGACGGTGGTTCGTTGCCATTGAGGTGAACAAAGATAGCTTTCCCTTTTCCATTTTTTTTTTTTTTTTTGGTGAGGTGTGGGGGTGTTTATATGAAACCAAGAGAGTTGAGACGAACATTTCACAGGCATAAATTGCCTCAAATATGAGACTTTGACATGAGTGGTACTCATACACATTATCCAGTTCGCATTCTGTAGTCACAGGTAAAGGTGGATCTGCTCTTAAGTCTTTCTTCACAGTTTTATTTTTGACATGTCAAAGAGTGTAAGTATGCAGACACTAATTCAAGTTGGTAGGAGAGTAGGCACAAAGGAAAGTCGAGGCGTACCACAATTAATAAATAAAACTCACCCATATCAAACTCACATCATTATAACAATGGTGTTAAAGAAATTAACTGAATCAAAATTTCCGTGAAATGTTTAATAATGTCTTATATATTCTTTTTTTTGAAAGTGATTGAACTTTCATTCCTTGTGTCTTCATATTTCTGTTGAGATCGATATGAATAATAGACAGGATTGTCCCATATCTAATCGAAAAGATTAACTTATAGTTACTTTTTTTTGTTGATATGTAGCATCATAGCGTAAAAATGACCGTCCCATCCAATAAAAAAGAGTAACTTATTTACTTTTGATAATCTCCTTCACTGATTACATGTGAAAGGTTGCAATGTGAAAACCTTAAAATGCAGCAAATTGTCCATCATGCATGAATGAAAATACATGGCATGCGAATTGAGCTAGGGTTTTGGAATATATGAATGGTAGTGGTAAAGTAACTTAATTTCACTGCTCCAACTGCACTTTGACTTGGTTAGCTCTGATTCTGGCCCTACATTTTGATTCACATCCAGTCTATTTATATAATAATACAAGATTGTCCTCAACGTGAAACATATTAGTGCACTACACACCATATTTAGCATAGTGAACCCATATGAATATATAATTATATCAATGCTTTCCTTTCCCAGCAGATTAAGTAGGTAATACTTCTATTGATCTACCATTACCATAAAGTGAACATGAATTCTTAAGTTAAATTAAGAGGAATAAGGAGATATCATAAAGCGATAAGGTTTTTAAATCACAATAATGACATTGGATATTTGTAGGGTAGTGATTTTTACTTTGCCAGTTTTTTTATGCACTCCATTCCCTTATTATTGTGCCTTAATTTATTTAATTCAAATTACTAAAAGAAGATCAAAAGAAATGAACAGCATCAAAAACAAAAAGTGCGGAAATCACTTCCACGATTCGTGTCAATTATCCATATAAACACCTAGATATATGAGAGTTTAGCACGCTATCATTGATTTCTCCCACTTCGCCTTTGCATATCTAAAACTACATTAATGAAACCCTCTTTATCAACCAAAAGATAGTGAAAAAACATATTTGTCTTCTCTCACAACAAAAAAGTTAAGGATAGAACTGTAATTTCACAAAATAAAATTTTGCTATTTTTTTAAAACCTCACCTACATGTAAGTTTATTATCTCTAATTTAAAAATAACAAATAAAATAAAAAACAACCTCTCTCCCTCTCTTCTTATTCCCACGTTCTCTCTCAATTTTAACAATCAAAGTAAAAAATTTCATACGCTTTGTTTGTGGGC